CATGTTTGGGATGGGCCGATGGCAGCTAAACCCTTGGAGTGCTTGGAGGAAACTGAGGCGGAGAACGGCAGTGGAGGTTGTCTAGGTGAAGAGATGCAATGACCCTATTATCTTAGCAGGATGGGGGTGCCTCTTAGGGAGGGAACTACCTCTGTTTGAAAAAGAGACCTTAACAAATGCTTGAGAGGTGAGGCCTTGAAGTTAAACCTACTCTGCCATTAAAAACACAATGCAAGAGCTATTCTTTAGTATCTAGGAGAGCCTGGGAGAGGATAAAGGAAGGAGAGGAAGGAACAGTGGAAAGGGCAGATGGAGAGCTGCAGGAAAAGGCGGGAAATGCCAGCGCAGGGCGGCAGGGGCTGCCTGAGGGTCAGAGATGCTCTTCTGTCCGAGCCTGAAGTCACGTTGCTGTGACAGAAATCTGTTCTTGTCTCCCCTTCTAGCCCCTTCGCTCCTGAAATGGTTGGCGAATTCTGCTCAGCTCATAAATATGTCATGTGAGAGTGTTCTTGATAGTCTTGATGAAAGCTGTGGTGTGTAACGATACAGAGTAGGGACCACACCCATGAGAGCAGGAGCCAGGGCAGGGCAGGACCCAGGGAGACAGAAGGAGCCATGAGCACATGAGCCCCCTAAGGATGTGCAGAAATCTTGGGGAGAGCTTTAGGTTTCCAAAGGCCACAAATATGATGGCTCAAGGCAACTTTACCTGGATTTCCACCAGGTGGGGGTGGGCCCGGGGGGTAATATCAGGGTTACATCCACAGGGAAAGTATACGGATTGGCATTTGACAGAAATTTATTTTTCCCTCTAGTTGAGTTCCTTTGCTTGAGTCAAAAAGCTAGAGTTACTAAGCGCAAAAGACAACAAACTTGTTCCTTGCCCTGTCTCCTGCCTTTCTTCAGAACAAGGCTTAATAGACCCTTTTTCTTTTCTTTTATAGACAATGCCACATGCTTAGTCATACAGAAGCTCTGATCTTTTTTCACACAGATTTCCAGATATCAGAGAGCTTGAAGAATGCAGCACAATGTTTAAAGTAGCATTCAGGTTTATCCTTCTGTCCCCTGTGAGTTTGGTTGGCACAGATCAGTTTCCCTCTTTGCCCCCTGTTTGTTCCCACAGACTGGGGGCTGCCAGCAATGGGCATAAGCTGGGATTTACCACTGTGAACTTTTTCTCTTCTTAGGGCTGCTCTCAGGCACGAAATCACAGCTCCAACCGTATCAGAAGGAACACAAAGTCCGGCCTTTCAGATGGGGCATTCCCAGGAGGCAAGGTCAGAGGTATCCCCCTCTTCTTTCTCAGGTCACCCTCTCCTCATCATCACCCCCTTCCAAAGACCCTAGGAGAAGGGCCTGTGCCCAGAACAGTCAGTGTCCCTACTCCAAGAGGTGCCCTGGGACCATAAAGGGGACACGGTGACATGGCTGTACACATTACCAAATGTGGTCACGGTCATTATCTGATGCCGCCCCACAAGAGTGAACTAGCCAAGGAAGTTCCAGCCATCCCCATGTGGCAGTGAGGGCTGCAGGATCAGAGATGTTCGGAGCCTTGACCGAGATCCCCAAGTGAGGGACAGAGTCAGGAACTGAACCCAGATTTGTGGTTCGAGTAAGAGCTTTTCAAGTTCTGTTTTTCCTGTTGATGATCAGAATCTTTGCTGTGAGGATGCTCCATGTCCTGGTTGTTATTCTTTGCCCCTGACCTTGAGCTCTTCCTGTACCTCTTTGCCCTGCTTGGTGCCCAGGGGCTGATGTCTGTGGACAGCATCAGTCGGTGTCCAGCTGGCTGGCTTCCTGGTGGCCTGGAGCTGGGACTCTGACAGAGGTTGTGTTCCATGGCCACAGCCCCTCTTCCAAGGCTCCAGCCCCCATCAGGCTCTGGTGCATCCTGCTCTCGCCCCTTCAGGTGCTCTCTACTTCCCACCATTGCCCCCCTCTGGAGGCCTCACCATCCCCAGGGTTGGTTCCCTAACCCTGCACCCCCACCACCCCGATATATCCCTTCCTTCAGTTATCCTTCGTGACACCACTTTAAGGGTACCTTCTGCTCCTGTTGTGCCCCTGGCTGCTACACCTAGAATGTCACACAGATAAAATGGAGCTGTCCTGGGGTCCTCTTGCCCTCTTTGGTGGCCCCTGGGACACTGTTGAGGAATCTAAGAGTCCCAGAAGTACAGATTGCAACCCCTGACCTACATGCTACACAATGTCTGCCAGCTGTAAGGGGTCCCTGTTCAGGGCAGCCTGAAGGGGGTTGAGGCCTGGGTCCCTCCTTCTCTCTTATAAAGGTGCCAACAACCCTGCTTCACGGAGCTCTGGCACTCTCCACACGCCGTATTCAGTCTCCACACACTGGCAGCTGTCTGGGGGCCACTGTCATGGTCTGCCTTCAGCACCCTGAGAACATGGTGCTCTCCACGCCTGCCTCCCTCCCAGGGCATGGGAAACTTACCCCCTGAGTGGAAATCACTGATCCAGTCACTCGTACCTGACTTTAGCAGGAGTCACAAGGGCTCCAGGTGTGTTACACACATGCGCACTCACAAACACACACTCCCCCCCCCCCCCCCCCCCCCCCGCCCCCGGCCGAGAGGCAGAGGAGCCAGGGTGGCCCTGGAGGGCAGGAGCCTGAAGCATCTCAGGGCGGGGCTGCTCGAAGCTGAAGACACCGGAAAGCCCACCCACCACCCTGGCCAGTGCCTTGGCCGCCTGCCTTGCCTCCGTCGTGATCAGCACATCAGCGGGGCGGCCCAGGGCAGGTGTCCAGAATCGAGGGAATGTCCCCCAAGGAGGAGAAGCTGCTGACCAGCCAATGCTTATCTCCCACCTTCTTCAAAGCTGCATTTCTCAGAACAAATCCGCCAACTGGCCTGTGAGTTTGACCATCTGTCTCCAGTGATTTGATTCCCGTCCATCAATGCCCCAAAGCCTTATTCAATAATAACAATTTCTAAAAAGCGTGTGAATGTCCGTTCACCCATTTGTTCATCCAGAGTTGAATCGTTTACTCTTATGAGCATGTGGTAGAGCCTGTGGGGCAGGGACTGAGGAACAAACGCTGTCCTCACCCACCAGAAGCTTATGGTTCGGTGGAGGGCACAGGGCCTCGAACGCGCCCAGTGCAGGGAGACGTGAGGGGCTGTGAGAGTTGTAGGTGTGTGTCTGCGTGTGCCAGCAAGGCGCTTCCTGAGGGAGGGCTCTCCCCTCCCCTCCGTGTGTCCCTCCTCCCTCTGTCCCTCTCTGATTCCCTCTGTCCCTGTCTCCCTGCTTGTCCCTTTTCCCTTCCTTCTCTGTCTCCTGGTGACAGTCTGTCCCCATGCTCCCCTCTCCCCCCATACACACACTCACAGTTTTGTCTCTCCTCTGATTCTCTTCTCTCACCCCGCCCCCATCTCTCCCATGCACCGGCCAGTCCCTCCAAACCAACAGAAATTCTCCCCATTAGGAGGCAAGGAGGAAACAGCCATCCCAAAAAGACAAGGAACAGAACTAGAGCAGAGGACCAGAATCCTGTCAAACATTTCCCAGGGGAGAGGAGAAGGCCACAGATGATAATAAAAATGTTGCTTGCTGCCATGACAACAGCAGTCATTCAGCCACAATACCAGGGATTTGGAGAAAACAAAATCAATTGAACGTTTATTTCCCCAGCATGACCAGCATCCCTAAGGAGGCAGAAGCCAAGAAGGAGATGCCTTGGGGTCTCGCCTGTCACCTGCCAAAGAACTAGGGTGCTCGGCGGGGACTGGCCCTTCTTTCTCCAATCTACCATCAGCAGTGACATCTCTTTCAGCTGTGCCCTGTGTCCAGCTCTTCATCTGAACCAGGGTAGCTATGGCCATTGGGAGTCTGCTGGGAGCCCTGGGGAGCAAACTCAGGCCCAGGCTCAGGGGAGCGGCCCCCACCATGAGGCACTGGCAGAGCATACAGGGCCTGGAAGGCCCAGTGTAAACAAATTACCCAGATTATGTTTGCAGATGGAAAGGTGGGAGGTCGAACCCCACATAACAAAACAAGAAGCAGCTTCACTTTTAAGGATAAAACCTAAAATCAACAATGGTAAAACTAAGAATGATTAATGCGGCCCCTGTTCCCCCTGTAGCCAAAATCACACAGTTAAAGATTTACCAGGAACAACTTAAGAAAAGGCCATGAGGGGATCATTTACCATTTCTGTTCTAGATAGTTTATGAACACGGGCACAAATGTTCTGTAACGGATTTCCTCAAGCTGCATTGTGAGCTACGCCAGCCAGAGAGTCACAGGGCGAGTGTTTCTGAGACGGTGGTGACTGCCATCTCCAGAGAAGCTGCCACCTGCTCTGAAGCCGTTGGCAGGTGCTGGCAGCACACAAGGCCCTGGACGTTTGATCTCCAATTTATTCTGTGTTGTTAGGACAACAAAGGAGGCTGAAGAGCAGAGTGACTCAGCATCTCCCCGTACTGTATTCCTCCCCATCTCTAGGCGCTATGCAGCTTTCAAGGGTCTATGCACTTAAATAATAATATTGCCAAGTGCCCAAGGTCTCAAACTGCGTGAGATACTAATGTGAGTATAAAAACACTGCCTGGCAAGTATGGCTGTCACGAGGAGACTCCTTTAAGAGAGCGTGTCTGCACTGGGGCATCTGGGAGGCAGAAAGGCAGTAGTTAGAGATAGAAGGTGCAGTCGCTGCCCATTCTATTAAATGTGATGTGCGTGGTTTCCAGACAGACGGGCATTTTTGAATCCTGCTCCTCTATTGGCTAAATGGAGCGGGGTTTGTGTGTGGATCAAAGATAAGTGACTTCTCCCTACTGGATATTTTCTTCTCACTCACTGGCATTGTTCAGAAGAGAAAGGTGGAATAAGGGCTGAACTTATTCACAGACAGGAGCTTCAAAGTTGAAACATCAAGGAAGCACCTCAAAACTTCAAAAACATCTTCCTACCTAAGTGCTCCAACATTTCATAGTTTCAAAAATCACAAGAAAAGGATGAATTATCCCAAAAGAGCAAATTTACTTTAATTTCCATTTAAATGCCTCAAAGCAAAAAGTCCAAGAGTTCCGACTCTTCTCCTACTGCTGTCAGGCAGGCTGGGAGCCCCTCATAATCTCCCCTCTTACTTTTCCATCTTGTGGTGAAAGTCTACTTCCCAGGCTGGCGGGGGCTGACAGGAATCAACGTGACAGTTGCCAGAGCACACCTATTGCTTCAGAAAAAAAGAAGTTGAACATTCATATCCAAACATCTCACCGGTTTACCACCCCATCACATGGATCTACAAACAAAAACTGGCTTTAAAACAAATGCCGTTGCAAAACAGTTTTGCAGGGTCTTAAAAAGTTACACATATACCTACCATATATTCCAGCTGTTCCATTCCTAGGTATTTATAAAAAAACAAAACATGTCCCCACAAAGACTTTCCATGAATGTTCACAGCAGCTTTATTTGTCATAGCTAAAAAGTGGAAGCAATCCAAATGTCCATCAATAATTAATAAGTATGGTATAAACAAAATAACTAAACAAATTGTGGTATATCCAATACAGTGGAATACTACTCAGGAATGTAAAAGGAGAAACTAGTGATATGAATAACAACATGGATGAATCAAAATAATTATGCCTAGTGAAAGAAGCCAGACAAAAGGGAATTTATATAAAACTTTAGAAAATGCTGACAAGTCTGTGGTGACTGAAAATAAATCAGCGGTTGCCTTTCTCCCAGGAAGGGTCCAGGGAGCCAGAAGGAGGGATCCCAAAAGGGTATGAAGAAACTTTTGGAGGTGATGGATATGCTCACTGTCTTGAATGTGGTGATGGTTTCATGTGCATATACAAACGTCAAGCCTTGTCCATTGTACACTTTAATATGTGTAGTTTACTATATCAACTATGCTTCAATCAAGCTGTTTAAAAAATTAAAGAAAAAATATGCCATGATGCAGTAACAGGGACTAGATATACACCCCTGCCTTAAACACTAAAATACTAGGAAAAATATGTGAAACAACCATTTTCAACACTGGACAACAGTCAAGGCAGGATCGTGAGCTCTGAGAGAAGGGAAACAAAGAGTGAGTCCTACCATGGTATCAGCTCCCTGCCTAGAGAGAGCCCAAAGGAAGCCTGGTGGTCTCACAGAGTTGAGGAGACAGAGGTTAGAGTGTGGGAGCCCACAGCAGCTCAAATTTTCAGGGCTGAGTACCAGAGAGGAGGGAGTTCTACACACAGAGAAAATTCCAGAGATTGTCAGGTAAAAACCGCAAGTCTTTAATCTCTGATTACTCACTACTTGTGAAGAAATTCCTTGAGGCAGAGAAAAGAACCACCTAAAAGGAGCAGATAGAGCAATTCCTGGAGTGCTTACTAGAAATAGTTGATATTCTCACCAGTGGAAGTGGAGACCTTGCAATACGTGGGTAGCATCCCAAGAAGGCTCTTGCCTCAATAACGGGGCTAAATTAGTCCCAGACTCAAGGCTGCTCTGGACCGAGCATAACAAAGCTTGAAAGCAAACCCTGAAAAGATCACACTGTTCCCAGGTAACCATGTGGCAGAGCAAAGTCCATCACTCTTTCAAGGAATAAAACAAAATCCAATACAAATACTGTAAAAACTTCATTGTCTGACATCCAATAGAAAATTACCAGACACGCAAAGCAGCAGGAGAATATAACTTGTAACCAGGAGAAAAAAATAGAAGTAGACCCAAAAAAGGGAGAGATGATGGAACTAGCAGGCAAGGATATTAAAATAACTATTATAAAGCTTATCAATAGATTGAAGAATGTTAAAGGAAAACATGAACTCAATTATGAGAGAAATAGCAGATATAAAATAAAATCAAAATGGAACTTCTGGAGGTGGAAAATCCAATATCTGAAAAACAAATAAATCATGAGCAACGATCATTATCTGGTTGATAGTGGGACTCACTCTCAGGTTGTCAAATGATAAGTGAATCATCACTTCCTTGGGGAAGCCTCGTTGGATGCAGCAGAGTCAATATTCTGTTGTGCTTTCACAGAGCTTCAACCTCCTCTTCAGAGCACTTGCCATAGTTATGATATTGCCATTATTGGTAGGACTACACAGTGCATGTCTGTCTACACTATAAGGTCCACGAGAGCAGGAGCACGTTTTTGCTTGCCTGTGTGCCATTGCCCAGACCAGTGCCAGGTATAAGGTACGGACGCAAATATATTTTGAAAGAATGAATGAACTCCTGTAATAGGCTCTGCCCTGGATTCGTTAGGCAGCTCTTGTTTAAAGCATCATCTCTGACTTCCTTCATCAGCATAGTGACGCTGTTTGACCATAGGCTACAGTTCTCACATAGCCTCATAAAACGCGCTGCCTGCAGGCACTGTTGAGTCCCGAGTTAAACGTGAACACACAATTCACTGAGTGACCTGGAGCAGGTTGCATAATGTCTCTGATCTTTAGGTTTCTCAGCTATTAAATGAGGATGTTGAAACGGATGATCTCTAAGAACTCTCCCAGCTCTGATGTTCCAGGATGCTACTGTGGTCTAGGCTCCAAAAATGCTCCTCCTCCTCCCGGAACCCTCACCTCCTAGAATCCATGCCCTTGTATATACTCTCCCTGAACTGAATCAGGGCTTTCTGTGTGACCAATAGCATAAGATGGGGAGAACAGTGTGTGATTTATGAAACTGTCATAAAGGGCATTGTGGCTTCTGCTGTGGCCTTTTGGATTGCTTGCTCCGGGGGACCCCAGCAGCCACGTCATGAGAATACTCAAGTATCCCTGGGGAGAGGTCCTCATGAAGAGAAACTAAGGCCTCCTGCCAACAGCCATGTGAGTGCGCCATCTTGGAATCAGATCCTCCAGCTCCAGTCAGACCTTCAGTTGACTGCAGCCCCAGCCAACATCTGACCTTAACTTCATGAGAGACCTGAGCCCCATCCAGCCAGCCAGGCTGCTCCTGAATTCCTGACCCGCTGGAACTGTGAGAGATGATAATTGTTCACTGATGTTTTAAATCACTAAGTTTTGGAGTAACTTGTTATGCAGCGGTAGATAACTAGTATACTGGTGCTGAGAGCCGTCCCTCCTTCCCTCTTTAATTCCTTCTGGTGTGAAGAATACTCTAACCACTGCATAAGCTAAATCTCCCAAACGGAAATCTTTCCTAATTTGGGAACCAAGTTGGGGGCCTGGAATTTAGACCAAGGTCTCAAGGAATATAGAAACCCCTCTTTCCTTGGCCCCAGGACACCTGATGCCACCCCATTTGGGTGGCCTCTGGACACATTTCCTGCTCTTCTGAATGAGTTTTCCAAGTCCCATAATCCATTTTGAATGTACTAATAGCACCTGTGGGCACATAGCAGGTGTTAAATAAATATTATTTGCTGTCTTGGTCCAGTTCTTCCAGAAAGTAGAACCCAAGAAAGGATTAACATTCTAATAATTTAGTTAAAAGTTGAGAGGCAAGAGCAATGGAGATGAGGGAAAAAAAGAAAGTGAGACAAGAGAAGTCATGCAATGGAACACACTGACGGCCTCTGCTCAAGGAGAGCAGAGAGGGAACAGCAGGTTCGCTGAGCATGGGGCTTCTCTGGAAAGGCTGCAAGGAGGAATCATGATCCAGTGCCCTTCACAGGAGAAAGGGAGGTGGAGGAATTTATCCGCCCTGCTCCCACCTTCTATCTCCTAGGTCCATATGCATCCCCTGGGGAATTAGCGCCTCTGGTTTATCCAACCCCTGATGGCTGCTCAGGAAGTCAGATCCCACAGCCCATGGTGAGGTTCAGTGGAGGGCATCCCAGAGCGAGTGGGGCACCAGCAGGGGAGAAAACAAAGTCATTGAGCAACCTGAGAAGACATACAAGATGTGTGTCCCCCGCAGGTCCCTTCTTGGTCCCTTTTCTAATTCCTCAGGTACTAACTTGCCAGCACAGCCATGGGAAGGCCTGGATTCTCCTGTTGACTGCATCCGTTCCTCAAATGTGTAGTGTGGGTGGAGATACAGTGACGCTGCATGTTAATGTGAGCCGACCCTTGCAGGCTTCACGACAGATGGACACACTCAAATCCCGGCATGCAAAGTGCAAGACTTCCTCTTTCTTCAGCCGCCTAGGAGGGAGATCTTAGCTCTCAGCGGAGGGGTCTCTGAGACAGTAGCATTCACCCACTGGCTTAGAAAATGCAATTTAATGGAATAGAACTGGAGCTTTTGAGCCGTCACCAGGCTGTTTTAGACAAAATTAAAAGGCCCTAAAGCGCTTGTTTTTTTGCTAAGAAGAGAAGTGTTTCCTCTCAAGAGTTCTCCAAACTTCTTAGAAGCAAACCTGGGAAAGTGGCTGTGAGCAGGAGATGGAGGCCCCATCAGTCCCTCAGAATTCCGGTGTGATAAGAGGAACAGTCCAGCGCTCACTAACAGAGGAGGATGGATGATTGGATGGATGGGTAAATGGGTAGATGGGTGGTGGAAGTGTGGGTGAAGGAGTGGGTGAGGTAGCTGCTCAGTTGTGTGGACATCTGAGAAACATTGCCCAGGCATCCGACATGCTTACATGCCCCTTTTCCAACAGGCGATCAAGGAAATCATTGCTGTGGGTTTTTACTGTCTTGAATCAGTCTCTCCAACGTGCATTTTTCCTGTCCCTGACACAGCCACCCGCTCCGATCCCCCATCCTTCTGGCTTGTTATCAGTTCCACACTGTCTCTTTGCATTAAAGTGACAAGAAGCAGCACAAAGCTGACGACAGGAGGCTAGAGCTGTAATTTGCACTGACATTCACTGGTGTTATCCACTTATTGCCTGGTAAGCCAAATAGGATGTTTGTCTGATTTTGATCCCAGGAAGAGAAATGACAACCCTGCTCTACTCCTACCACTCAAAACAAAGCACCAGGCTGGTCCTCAGTCCTGAGTCGGGCCTGGCAATGCCCACCGGCATGACGTGGGTCTTCAGTTTCATCTTTCTTCTGGCTGAAATTGCCTTTCAGGCCTGACATACAGCAAACACTGGATGTGGGGGGGCTGGGGGGGGGTGTCGCGTAGACCATGGACACATGGCTAGGGATGGGCGCACACCATGCTATCCTCTCAGTCAGTGACCGTATCTCTCACAGGTTGCTCAGGGCCCTCAAAGGACTCTGGGAGAACTAAGTGCCCCTGGGAAGTCAGACCCCAGCTGAAAACACCTCAGCAGCTCTCCTTCTGCCTCCCCAATCCCTCTCTTGAAACTCTCCCAGCTGTAAGAGAAGCGAGGCTGAATGACAGGCTCCTGAGCAGCAGCATCAAGCAGTCAGCCTGTGGGCATGGCCTGCTGCTCAGTTTACAAGGCCCAGGACAAGATGAAAACATGGGACCCCTTGTTCAAAAAAGCAGGAAAAAGTGTCATTAAAGGTACTAAAATATAAGACGTTTACCTTTCTTCTGTGGTCTCTCTCTGCCTCGTCGTGGTGTTTTTCATTTGCTGTACAATGCTGTTCTAAAATAAAAAAATAGAAATATTAGCGTGAATTTTACCATTCCTCTGTCTATTATGCAATGACAGTTTTAAACGCACATAAAAGAGTATTCAAATCAGATGCGGAATCACCAAAATGACACAATTTGTATTTCCTAACTCATACCTGCATATATATTTCTCTCCTATCAGAACAATGGAAAAGCTGAGTAATTTCTTATTTCACTTCTTGATATACACACATTCTACCGACGCTCTCTTACCTTCATCCTACTGGCGAGACAGGAAGGACTGAAAAGAAAAGAAACTATGGTTTCCCTATCTTTCCCTTTCGTTCTATGTCATCATTTTCCACCTAAATTGTTGGTTACTAGAGGGAAGTCATGTAAGAATATGACAGGGCTCTTCGGCATTTCTTAGGACACCACTGTCTTCTTTCTGCATTTAAGGCAAGTTGTGGTTGAACAGAAAGTATGGCCTCTGGGCTGTCTGTGGTGTCCCCCCCACTGTGCCCCCACTTAGCCTGTCGTACAGGTAACACACTTCCCTTATACTGCCTTTGGGTCTCACTGAATTCTTGCGCAATGTGGGTCGCCTGGGATTCTGTGCTCATGGGACATGGCAAACACTATATGAGATGGGGCAGCAAGGAATGGCGGACATGCATATTGCTCACACATCTCTGTTCACATGCACGCTCTATTGTCTCATTGACTTCACTTACAAAACTCAAGTTCAAAGATAAAATTAATGAGAATTTCAAGATGACAATGGCAAAGCCTTAGACTAAATGTGAGACCCCTCTGAGTGTGGGGGCCCTGTGCAACCACGAAGATCTCACCCCCATGAAGCTGGCCCTACGTGTCAGGAGGATGGGCTCTAAGAGCTAACACTAGAGAGTGCCTACCGTGACCAGGCACTGGTTCAAACGCTTTATGTGTATTAACTCATTGAATCCCCTTTATAACCCCATATAGCAGGTAAGTTATTATCCCATTTTTCAGGTACAAAACTTAAGGCACTAGGAGGTTAAATGACTTGCCCAGAGTCACAGAACATGCCACTGGCACAGCCGAGAGGCAGACCCAAGCAGTCTGGCCCTAGAGTCCATGCCCTTGACCACTTGGCTAAGCTGCTTCTCAGGATAAATCCTGGAAAGACTTAAGGGGGAAGTCACACATTTCTCTTTCCCCTTGCATCTGTATTCAGGTCTGTACATCGGGGTCGGTGTCTTTCCCTTCAAGTGGGAATTCCTAACTCCTTTAAAACTTAAGTTTTGCTCAAGCCCAGGTCAAGGGGCTTAGGACGTTTTAAAGATAATGAGGTGGGCTGAAATTCACACTGGGAGGTCTTGGACAGGGCTGGGTCCAAATAAGTTGGTGGTGGGGGCAGCTTCGGGTCTGAGGAAGCGTCCTGCTCCCAGCTGCTGTTAGACTCCGGAGTGGGGGAGTTTTGCAAAGTTAAGTGCCTGGTTTGGTTTTTCCTGTCCTTTAGTAAATGGTGCGTGCACACAAACACACACAGACATGACCCAGCTCTGCCTCCAGGCCACATTCTTAGAAACTATGTCCCTTTACCACCCCCAAGTCTCATCTTTCTCAGTGTGACTCAAAAGCATTCCCCACCCGATGCCTGGAAAGGCGTTGCCCAGCAGGTTCACCAGGTCAAAGGAAAAGCCCTTTGCATCCGAACACCGGCCTACACACGTCAGCTAGGAGGAAGGACAGCCAGGAGGAGGGAAGTGACAACTCCCTACTGGTGCTGTGTAGGTAGGAGAGGGCAGGGAGGGCAGAGGGTCACGGAAGGGAAGGAAGGCCTTGGGGAACGCACAGAGGAGGGAAGCGCAAGATCAGATAAGCGCAAGATCAGATAAGCACTTTGCACAGGTCCCTGCAAGATGAGGGGACGGATGCGATGCCCAGTGGCTTTACATCAGCCCTAAATGGTTTGTCAGTCATTGAACAATCTAGTCCTGTCCAGTCATCTCTATGACCCAGAATGCTAGTGATTTTTTCTCTGAAGTAGTATGTGCCATCCAAATAAGGGTTATGTCAGATGGGAGCTGTGTCTCCCCTCTCTTAGCATGCAGGTTACAGACAGAGATTCCCAGTCCCACCTACCATAAAGACTTCTGTATCATGACACATTAATACACAGTTTTGAGGTTTTTTTCCTTAAACCTTCCTGCAGAGACAAACTTAAATGTCCCATCATTTAGGAATTAAAAACAAAAAGTATAACATAGCTGGATATTGACTACTACAGATCAGATGCCTGGGCTTGAAGAAAGGACATCAATGTGGGGAGGCTGGGGCTTAAAGCCATGTTTCCATCATTCTGATAACAGCAGTCACAGCTTCTCGCCACGGTTGCTTTTCATTTTCCAGAACACAGAATGTCTTCCTCTGCTTTCTTTCCATCTTCCATGGTACGGTGCCTTTAGGGGAATCTTGCTTAACAGCAACAGCAGGGGGCAGAGCTCTCTTTCCTGTTTCCTTTTTGGGGTTGTAATGCTCTGTTTTTCTGGACATATTGTTTGGAGACCAACAGGCATGTATTTGATGCATGACACAAATGACATATGGTGGTGTTAATGTCACACCATTGACAAAAGAAGACAAGGAGAAGGATCCGGCAGATGGGTCGGGGTTACATTTCATACTGTACACAGTTAATTGCTGACAGCTCAGAGCAAACAGCAGCACCTTTGTCCATGGAAAAGATGCTAAATTTTCTGTAATCTCAATCAAGAAGTCCCCAAGTGGCTATTTCAGGGACCTTCCCTACTTCTCAGGGAGTTTTCTTTTTCTTGGTTCTCTTTTTTCTCCTCAAAAATGCTGCTGGTCCCAGGGCTTAGGGACAGTAATTGTTGCTTCCTCTCAACATAAAGGTCAAGGTCCTTTGTTACATAGTTGGTTTTGTGGCCCAGATAAAGTCGGGCAGTGATCTCTGCTAAAGAGCAGTGGAAGATCACTCGCCCCCGGGTTGTCACATTTGGCTAGTCTGAGTGAGAAAAGGGGGCTAATGGTGTAAGAGCAAATGAAACCACACAATTATGGTCTCTTGCTCATCTTTTTAAAGACAGGCAAAAGACAGTCCGAAGTCAGACAATGGTGGGCCACGAAGGAAAGTTCAGGAAAAAAATCAGCCGTTTTCTTCTTTTGTTCATAGTTTTCTGTTAATGTCATTTTGAAGTGAAGTCTCCAGCAAAGATTCTGACACTATGACGATACAGTTTGTGTTTATAAAAGATGGAGAAGCTGCTTTCGCCCTGGCTGCTGATTTCTAGATTTCTTCTGGCTTTAACACAGGACAGCTGGGGTGTTGAATGCCAAGCAGGTGGAGGTTGACCCCTGGCTGGCTGGCCCCATCGCTGTGTTAATCTCCAACCAGGTAGGCAGCATCACTTGGCTGTATGGCCATCATGGATACTCCTTTCAGGTGGTTGTGGGTTGCCACGGAAACAAGGAAGTCTTAATGTTAAGAATAATTTTCTCCTTGATGGAAACAGTCTCTCTCCAAAGGAAAGTTAACTTGGAAACCATTCGAGTCCTCCCCAGTTGCTGTCCCCACCCCACCCCCGCCGTACTTTCTTTTGCTTGCCTAGAGGTCTTAATTTTGATGATCTATGAGGTGTCAGCCAGAAGGTCTTGTGCTCTGCTGCGAAGCACTATAAAAAGGCAGATGTATGACTGTGTCATCCACAAATACCCTAGAAAGTTAAGTGTGATACCAATGTTGATAATAAATGTTTTCCTCCGAAGTAGGTTACGGCAGTATCACCAGAGCCCTCTAAAATACAACACACCGATAAAATCTCAGGGAACTCAGGGACACCTAACCCTGCCATTGTCCTTATAAGACAGTCAGGAAAAGTTATTAAATGCCATTCCATCTTGTTTGCCTGAAAACCTTGAATGAAAAGAGGGACAGCCCCTCCAAACATCAGAACTTGATCTCTACAAATGGGAAGCCTTGGGACCAGAAAGCCCCAGGGAATTCAGAAATGACTCTTTAAAAATCTTTTTGAGGAAACATGGCCATTGACCTATCCCATTGACTCAGCCCCCAGCCCCAACACACACCACTCCGCCACCTTGATCTAAATGGAGGAAGGCAGAGAAACACTCTGATCTAGGTCCTGCCTGACCTTCCATCATAGGCTGCTGCCTCAGTCATTTAGCAGCTACCGGTCTTGACTCCTGGCTCCTGCAGGGGTTTGTCTGAAGAAAGTCCCCAGGTGGGGAGCCTCTAAGAAGGGCCACATGCTTGTGCGCATAAGAATTTGAAGCTTACTTTGCAATGATCCACAGTTGTGCTGTCTTTGCAAGAGAAAATTCCAAGCTGAAATTCTATATTCTGGCCCCCGTGGATGTAAAGTCTTGACTGTTCCTCATTTTTCTATTGCTTCTCACCCAGTAGTAAGATTGGTCATTTTTGTTACTGTTACTGTTACTGTTTTCTATTAGAAGGTCCTTCTTGGAGCAGGATAAAGAGTCAGCATCACTGGGCAAATGAGCCATGGTCAAGAATTTGAAATGCTCTGGTTTCAAGCTGCGGTCTCCAGAAGCAGATCTTGAGAGAAGAGTCTAGCAAAAATGACTCATTAGGAAGTGTTCCTGGTGTTCTAAGTGTTCCGTAGGGTGTGGAAACAGGACTGAGAAGGGAAAGAGAACAAGCAAGGGGATGATGTCAAACCAAGCCCCTGGGAGGGTAATGTCGGCACAGTTCCTCAGGGGCACGGTGGTGGTGACGCCTAAGTGTCACTGTCAGGGATGAGGGAGTTGGAGAGTTTCTAGCTCTGCACCCCTCAGTCATTAGTTAAGGGCTACAGGGGCGGGACATATGGGCATGCAGCCAAAGATGTTCCAGTAGCCTGTGGGTCATCCTCTGACACGGAGACGCCAGGGCTGCTGGGCCTGGAAGCACCAGGAGAGCTCACGTGCCCAGAAATGGCAAAATGATCCAAGGGGACTTTGACGTAGGACTGACAGCAGCTGCCCCACACCCATCCACAAGAA